ACAGCTGACTTTAAACTGTGTTGTAAACAGAATGTACTCCAGCTCTCAACCCTCTTTTCTTTCCAATTGATAACAGGGTTATGCAAAGACAGCCACGGAAAACCAAAAATAAGCTGTGGAGAGGTAGAATCAAAGACAACAAACTCGCCCAAGTCATGGTGGTTGCCGGACACAATAACGTGTAAACTGGGGACGAGTCTGTTGACTTGAGATAAGAGCTGTCCTGTGACACCGGCGAWGGAGCGTGGTGGATCGAGAGGTGAGGTAGGAAATTCCAGTTGTTCCACTAAATCACTTGAGATTAAGTTTTTTTCAGCACCAGAGTCCACAAGAGCCGAAATCGGTAGTTTGGTTTATCCACAAACTACCGTAGCAGGAAGGAAAAACAGAGAGTTAGGGGAAAAATTGTCTTGTCTCGTCAGCTTCCCCTGGTCTACTGACGAGACGACCCGTTTCCCCGCAGCGGGCAGGTGGCGACGAAATGTCCCCTGTTGCCACAGTAAATGCATAATTTAGCAGCGAATCGTCTTTGTCTTTCTTCGGGTCACAAACGTGTGCGTCCAATCTGCATGGGTTCGACGGGACTGGTAGCAGCTGTAGCGTGAGGAGGCAGAAACTCACCACTGATGGGGAAAGCGGAAACCCACGGACTCTGGGAAGTGTAGTTCTTCTCTTTCTTTCGCTCTTTTAATCTGTTATCAATTTGTATGGACAAGGTGATTAAATCGTCCAGGCTTCCGGGTTCCTCCCGGGAGCCAATTGATCTTTTAGTTGCTCTGATAAAGAATTTACAGAAATACCTTTTAAAGCGAGCTCTTCCCAGCCAGCCTCYTCGGCAATAATCCGAAAATCCACAGAGTGTTCTGCTGCGGACTTACTTCCTTGTCGAAGGTTGATTAGCCGCTTCGCTGCCTCCTCCTGCTGGAGGGGATGGTCAAACACACGCTGAAACTCTTGAATGAACAGCTGGGATGTGAGAGTGTCAGAGGAATGGGCGGACAAAAAAGCTTGGGCCCATCTGAGGGCTTTTCCCTTCAAAGCAGAAACAATATAGGTTACTCAGGCTGAATGAGTTGGGAAAAATGAAGGGGAGTGAGCAAAAGCTAACCGGCATTGGAGCAAAAAACCGGCACACTGAGTTATGTCCCCATCAAAAAACTCAGAAGGTCGGATGACTGGTTCTCTAGTAGGTATAGCAGGTGGAGGGGGCGTGGCAGCTGGAGGTACGACAGGATTAATAGGAAAAAATGTGTTTAAATTATTATCGAGGGCAGTGATACGTTGTGTGATTTGGCCTAATAAAGCGCTGGTTTCCTGTTGCGCTACATATAACTGATTAAATTTTTGGTCATGATCAATTATTTTAGATTCTGGTTGATTAGTGGTTCCAAGAGTCTGATTGTCAGTAGTATTGCTCACGGACTTGGCTGAAGCATTCTACCAGGTTTTCTGGTGGAGGTCGACGTGAGCAAATACCAATGACAAACAGAGACTGAGACAGCGGATACAAAAAGTAAGGGATTTTATTTTTACAGGTGCTGGGGTCTGGGGACGGGACGGGCTGGAGAAGGAGATGAGACTTGGAGGAGTAGGTCCAAAAGGTGAAGTTCCACAGGTGAGTATTTACAGGTGAATACTTATTTACAGTGTTWCGTGGGAGGCAGCGCATGAGATCCTGGTGAGYTGGCTYGGGTTCCAAGGCAGGAGRTAAACRTGCTGGAGGTYGCTTCTGAAAACAGGTAGGTAACAGGTACACAGGTAAGATAATTTCTCATAATGACAACAGGTAGCAGGCTGAGCTCATACCAAACAGAGGCAATGCTTCAGCGATGAGATGAACTCCAGCACTGCCTTAAAAAGCCTGGAGGTGATGAGCCAAACTCTGTGCGGGTGTGGGTGATTAGCGCAGTCCCCAATCCGGGAGGCAGGGGGCGAAGACACCAAAATGCCTCAGTTACTGAGTATTTCCTCAGTAGTTAAGCAATTTTTGTGTACCTATTGTAAAGTGTTACCTGCTTTTCTTTATTTGCTTTAGTAAAACAGCAAATCTATTGCTTTTTTAATCACATTTATGAGAAAGTGGTTATTTAAAAAGTTTTATAACGACACTGAACCATTACATTTTCTGATCATTGCCAGCTGTCAGTGGGTGAGAGGACACCTGTCAATCACAGAGTCAGACAAGACAAAAAATCATGCATGCTCATATTCAAGGTCAAATTAGGACATCAGGTAATCTAACATGAAAGAATACTTGTAGAAAACACTGTGCACAGGATGTACACCCGCGTAATTTACACGGGGGATAGGGGGGTTGTAACCCCCCCAATAATTTGATCCAGTCAATATAACCCCCCCAATAAAAGTGCATCATTTAAGTATACATATATTACATCAGTAATTGATTTTCTTCATTAGTTTACATTTTTTAGTAAAATTGCTGCGTGTTTTAATGCAACCACCCCCCGCCCCGAACCCCTCCCCTGCAAAAAACTTGGTATCACCCACCCGCTGTCTGTACAAGTGGCCGGCTCACGGCTGTGCACCGATTATGAGGAAGCAGCTGGAGTGTGAGTGTGGATGTGGTTCAAAGGAAATGAG